GCTTGGGGGAACAAGGTCTCTCCCATTCCCCGCTGGTCTCCCCTAATAAGATTATAGATGGCCACCAGATCCCCTCTCAGCCTTCTTTTGTGAAGGCTGAACAAGTTAAGGTTCCATAGCCTCTCCTCATAGGGCCTGCCCTGCTGTCCCCGGATCATGCAAGTGGCCCTCCTCTGGACCCTCTCAATGCTCTCCACATCTCTCTCCACCCAGAACTGGATGCAGTACTCCAACTGTGGCCTGACCAGTGTCGCATAGAGGGGGAGGATCACCTCCTTGGCTCTGCTCGTGATGCATCTATGGATGCACGACAAGGTGTGGTTAGCCCTACTGACTGTGTCCTCGCATTGGCGGCCCATGTTCATCTTGGAATTGATAATGACTCCAAGATCTCTTTCTGCCACTGTGCTTCTGAGAAGGGAGTTCCTCAGCCTATAGGTATGCTGCTGGTTCCTACTGCCCAAGTGCAGCACCCTGCACTTGTCAGTATTGAATTCCATCCTATTCTCATTTGCCCACCCCTGTAACCTGTCCAGGTCCAGCTGTATCCCGTCCCTCCTTTCTGGTGTGCCCACCTCACCCCAAACGTTGGTGTGAATTTAAACAGGGTGCTTTTCACTCCCTTGTCCAAGTCACTAATAAAGAAATTGAACAGTGCGGGCCCAAGGACCAAGCCCTGGGGGAGTCCACTGCTTACATCCCTCCAGGTCGAATATGACCTGTCCACCACCTCTCTCTGAGTGTGGCCCCTCAGCCAGTTTGCTATCCATCTGACTGTGTAGACATCAATGCCAGCTTTTTAATGAGAATGGGGTGGGAGACAGTGTCAAAGGCCTTCCTGAAGTCCAGAAAGACTACATCTACCGTGACATCTGCGTCCGATGATTTTGTGACCTGATCATAGAAGGCAATTGGGTTGGTCTGACAGGAACTGCCCCTAATGAAACCGTGCTGGTTGCCCCTGAGCATCATTCCCGCTGCTGGCCCTTCACAGATGTGCTCCTTGATAATCTTTTCAAAGAGCTTCCCCAGGATCGAAGTAAGACTAACGGGCCTATAGTTGCCCGGGTCCTCCCTCCTCCCTTTTTTGAAGATGTGGACAACATTGGGCCTCTTCCAGTTGTCTGGCACCTGGCCAGAGCACCACGAGTACTTGTAAAGCTGTGCCAGGGATCCCGCAATGACCCCTGCCAATTCCCTGAACAACCTGGGGTGGAGAGCATCTGGACCTGCTGATTTGAACACGTCCAGCCCCTCCAGAAGTTCTCTCACTCAGTCCTCCCTGACCCTAGGCCTGGCTGAGTCTCTCCTGAGTCCATCCCGAATCTCAGTGGGGGAGTCCTGGTCCCTGCACAAAAAAATGGAGGCAAAGAATCTGTTAAAAATGTCTGCTTTTTCCTCTGGTGCAACCACCAGATAGCTTAGCATATCCTGCAGAGGCCCCACATTACCCTGTGCCTTCTTCATACTCCCTATGTATTTAAAAAAGGACTTTTCGTTGTCCTTGATCCTAGCCCTAGTTCTGTATCTGTCTTAGCTTTCCTAACAGCCCCCCTACAGATCCAAGTGATGGAGGTATACTCCTGTTTGGTGATACCCCTCCCTTCCACTGGGTGGATGCCTCCTTTTTGGCAATCAGAATCCCGAATGCCCTTGGTGAGCACTCTTGCTCCCTTTGCTTCTCGTTTGGATTGTCACCCCTTGGGCTCTGAGTATTGTCTCCTTAAGGAATGACCACTCATCTTGGGCACCCAGTTCCCCTACTCTCCAGGACCCTAGTGCCTCCCCCACTAATCTCAGCTCATTGAAGTTGGCCCTTTTAAAGTCTAAGGCTACTGCCTTGCTGCAGGCCCTTGAAACCCTGTGCTGGATGGTGAATTCCAGCAAGTGATGATTGCTATCGCCCTGGTGGTCGAGGACCTGGAGTCCCCTCACCAGGTCATCGCCTGTGGCCAGGACCAGATCCAGCAGGGCATTCCCCCTGGTAGGACTGTGCACCTCTTGAGTTAAGTGGAGGTCCTGTATCTCAGCCAGGAACCTCTGTGAGTGGTCAGACCTGGCTGACTGCTCCTCCCAGCAGATGTCCTGGTAACTTAGATCACCCATGACAACTACATCCCTTGCCTCTGCAAGCTGACCCAGGAATTCATGGACCAGCTCTTCCCCTTGGTTGGGAGGTCTGTAGTAGACCCCCACCATTAAATCCCCTTCCCCACGACCCCCCTGTATCCTGACCCAGAGCACTTCAGCCTGCCCCTCCTCTGACCCCATCCTGCTAGTTGAGGATGTGTATTGCTCTTTGATGTAGAGCGCTACACCCCCGCCTTTCCTCCCTGTTCTATCTTGCCTGTATAGCCTATAGCCCCTAATGTTGACTGCCCAGTCGTGGGATGAATCCTACCAGGTTTCTGTGAGCCCTACTATGTCCAGGTTTGAACTAGCTATCCGGAGGGCGAGTTCCTCCTGCTTATTCCCCATACTACGAGCATTGGTATAGAGGCATTTAAGGCCTTGAATTGGTGTGTATGCTACACCCCGCCCCCCAATTCTCAGGACTATCTGGACCACTGCTGCTTACCTGGGTGCTCCTTGTGTATGTCACCTGTCTTGGTTGGGAGGTGTCCTCATGTCTTCCTGTGGCTCCATACCCCGGCGAAGCTGTCCTCTGGATGTTGTAAGTGCTCCAGGCAGAGCAGGGCAGCCTTTTCTCTGCAGTTCTGAAGTTCCAATAAATGCTTACATTTAAACTCATAACCCACCTCATTCAGGTGGGTGTCACCAGGGCAGGTGATAGGAAGGCCTGCTCTTTCACTTCCTCCCAAAGCTGCTAGTGGGTGGTGTGACTACCTGCTGCAGTGCTGATCTTGATTTACTCTAAGCAGAGATAGCAGTGGTCAGGATCTCTGCCCACAGATTTGGTCACTCGCAGACAGAGCCAACCTGGGGACTAGCCCAGCAAACGAACTCTGAGATTTTTGTCAGCTCTGTAATCTTCTGTTCTGGCAGGTGAACACGCCCACCAAGACTTTTGGCCTTGGTAAGCGGCGAGCAGCTGATCTCAAGTACATAGAGGCATGTGCCCAGCACATTGCAGAGGTGGCCACAGGATACAAGGTTGTGGTGGAGAAAAGCACGGTGCCGGTGCGAGCAGCAGAGAGCATCCAACGGATCTTCAATGCCAATACCAAGTCCAACCTGTCCTTCCAGGTGAGGCATGGGCTGTGCTCTACCCCTAGGGCATGGGGACATCTGTGCAGGGTGCATAAGAGATGCTACTTCTGTCTGAACATGCAGTCTAGCAGGGGAGAGTTGACCCTTCCTGTTCTGGGTGCAGTCACATGGGAACACTGTTGGCTCTTGCATGATCCAAAAGGTGTGGACATACAATACATTAGTCTGGGGTAATCTACCGTGGATTTGATACTGTAGCAAGGAACAGACACATGACCAGCTCTCTCAACTTGGCTGCCTGAAGTAAGTGCTATTAGAGTAGAGGTGGGCAATTATTTGGGCCTGAGGGCCACTTAGGGAGTTTTGGTGAGCTGTCACAGGCCAGGTCAGCACTCCTCTGCCCCCAGCCCAACAGCTCACCAAAATTCCCTAAATGGCTCTGCCCCATGCTTGGCTGGGTGGCTGGGATAGGGCCATGGATGGGTGGGCAGGGAGCAGCATCTGGGAGCAGGGTGGGCAGGCGGGGCCAGGGCTGGGATTGCAGGGCTGAGAGAACCCTGGGGCAGAGCCATGATCTGCTCCCTGCATGCCCCTGCAACAGGCACCAGTTTCATGGGCAAGGGCTTCTGGAGAACAGATCGTGGCTCTGCCTCAGCCCTGTGCTATCACTGCCCCACGATCTGGGGGTCTCTACGGAGACATGCTGGGACCTACACAGGCAGGGCACAGCCATGTGGACAGGATGGGGCTGCAGCTGGGTGGAGAGCTGTGTCAGAACAGGACAGGTGGGCAGAGGTGGGATCTTGGGGTGGTGACAGTGCAGGGCCACCCCTCACACACCCCTGCCCATAGAACCAGTGCCCATTGCAGGGATGTGCAAGCAGCAGATCACAGCTCTGCCGTGGACCCCAGTCCTGCTCTGTCACAGCCCCATGATCCCACCCACCTGCCCTGCTCCCAGACACTGCTCCCTGCCCACCCACAGCCCTGTTCCATCCGCCCAGCTGCATGTCTTGTCTGCATGGGTCCTGCCCTAATTGGTGGGTACAGGGCAGATGGGCTGGGGTGCCCAGGTGAAAGTGACAGTAGTAACAGACACGTGACGTATGCAGGAGTAACTTTCTCCAGCGAGTATTTACTTCATACTGGAAAACAGCATTTCTTGTGGAGTGCTGTATACTTGTATGCCTGTTTCCCTTCTCTTATGGAGCAAATGAAGGCTACCCTGAAGTACATATTTTGTCTTCACTTAGGTCTGGACAGTTCTTGGATGGGAGACTTGGAGGGAATGCAAAGCTGTGAGGACCCCTCTGACAGGCTATGTAGCATTGGATTGCTGACAGTCCTGCTTTTGTGTCATACAGCTGAGCTGCTGATCATTTACAATCATTAACAATCCCTGACACTCCAGAGGAGTAGGCCACATGGGTCTCAGAATTGCTGCTACTGCCTCAACTTCTGTTTGTAATTTCAGTCAGAGAAACTCTCTGTTATTTCCCTTTCTATGCTACTTGTGTTTAATAGCTACTTTGCATCCCAGATGTGGGTCAGTTTGGAAAGGGGTGGAGTGATCCCAGTAGTTGCAGGATGGTCTTTTCATGCAGGGTGTTGTCCCCCTCCCAGGTACTCTCTAACCCAGAGTTCTTGGCGGAAGGGACAGCCATTGTGGATCTGAAGAACCCAGACAGAGTCCTGATAGGAGGGGGTGAAACGGTTGAAGGACAACGGGCAGTCATGACTCTCAGCAGCATCTATGAGCACTGGGTCCCCAAAAGCTGCATCATCACCACCAGCACATGGTCATCAGAACTCTCCAAGCTGGCATGGTGCCACATGCTTTTCCTGTCAGAGGCAGTTCCTGACCTGTGCTGACTGAAGCTGGGTTGGGGTGGTGGGTTGGTCTGATCCAGTCCTCTCCTTTCCCAGGCTGCCAATGCATTCCTGGCCCAAAGGATCAGCAGCATTAATTCCATCAGTGCCCTTTGTGAGGTGACTGGGGCTGATGTGGAGGAGGTGGCACATGCCATTGGGACTGACCAGCGTATTGGGAACCGTTTCCTTAAGGCCAGTGTAGGTAAGTCCCAGGGTTTCTCTGCCATTTTGCTGCTATGTGCTGCCTACATGAGGCTGAGCACCTGTAACAGGACTGAGAGCCATCGTATTGCTCTGGAATATGTTGGGTTTCCACTGTATCATGGGATAGGAGTGAGACTGGATCAGCTCTTTAATTTCCAGGGAGAATGGAGCAGCCACATGCACTGGGAGGGCCCCAGGTATCCCACATCCCTGAGGCTGCTACAGTGTGGGCTGGACCACGAGAGAATGATCAGCTAGAACTAGCCTGGAAGAAAAGTGCACAGGGACTGGTTGGAGGGGAGCCAGCATTGGAACATGTCTTCCTTTGCAGCCATGGAGGAAAAAATAGTCATGTGATTCCTTCCCCTGGCATCTGGGATTTGTGCATGAATGCGGGGGTGTGCTCCTTTGTCAACTCATTGATGTAGTCCAGGCAAATGGTCTATCCAGCCATTGTCTGTGGAGACTGAACCTCCACCCCATTCCAACACCTCCATGTGCCCATAGGCAGGGAATGCTCTCCCCACTGCACTTCTTGCTGCATGTGCCATGTCTGATTGGAGACAGCTCCTAAAGGGCACAATACTGAAAGCTCAGCAAGAAGCTATTTTGACATGATAGAAGCCCAAGAAGAACAACAAGAGACCCGTGTGACTGCAAAATGAGCTTTCAGGGTGCCTCAAAAGCCAAAGGAGAGTATACAGGCAGTAGAAGAAGGCTACCAAAGAGACATACCAGGAAACAGCAAGAGCTTGCAGGGATAAAATCAGGTGGGGAAAGGTTTAAAAAAAAAAAAAAAAGCTACACCCAGGTGTTGATCCAGAGGGGATACAGTAGCAGAGCTGCACCCCCTTTCTGATTGGATGATGCTGAAGGAGCCACTGAGAACTTCTTTGAAGTCCCCATAGCACTTTAGAATCTGCACACCCTTCCTGTTCATGCTCAAAGGCATATCCTCTCCCCTTCCATCCCCTCTTTCCCAACCTGACTCTCATAGTTTCATAGTAGCTAGGATCAGGAGGGACCTGAACAGATCATCCAGCCCAGTGGTCTCCAAAGTGGGGTGCGCACAAGACGATCCATTGGAGTGCTGGAAGAAAATATTAGAACTTCTATTTATATTTATATAAATATACATATATTGGGGGGGTGTGCTCAAAATTTTTTTTACTGATGGGGTGCACGAATATAAATATACTGGGGGTGCGTGCTCAAAAATTTTTTATTGATGGGGTGTGTGATCAAAAGAGTTTGGAGACCACTGATCTAGCCTGAGC